CCGTTTGCCGTCAAGTTGATGCTGGAAAAGTCCAATGGGAAGGTCAAAATATTCACGATTGAAAAGTGTCAGGGAAAAAATGATTGCAACGAAACTGGACCGCGTTTATCCATCAACGGCGAACCAAGTTTGGCCTGCGATCGTATGTGACTTTGCACCGTACAAAATGTAAAGGTAAGTGGGGACAAGAATCGAGGGAATATCGTAACTCTTCGCGACATGCAAGTCATGAAAGTCAGGTCCGCTACCTCGTTACCACTACCGCTACCTAATGACGCCAGGGATGAGAAGATCAGTACTTGAAAAGAAAAACTACAGCCACATACGGAACGGGCTTGTTTCTATGTGACTAATAATTCATTTATGTGCACAAGTTCCTGACACTCGGTGAATCATTTCCTTTACTCAGAAAACTATCAGCAGAGTCACACCTCAAACTGCTCCAATTCTCTCTATCAGTTCGTTGAAGAGGGCAATTATAGTTAGAGATAGGGCTTGTTGATAGTGACCATAACAGTCTTCTTAGACACTAAATAGCTGTTGCATAGTTTCCGTCTCCCTTTCTGTCATGCAACATTCTCGAGAGAACGTTCTACTTTAAACATCCGCAAAAATACATAGGTGACTCTGCTTACATTCAATAAAATACATTGTATATTAGAGCCATGAATCACAATAATCCGTCCAGGTGGCAGATGACAAAATCAAAGATTTCATGCCAATTTTTAAAGCATTAGCATGGACGCTGATCTTAAATCTTTCAATCAAGGTTTGAGATCAGGATATTTTTCTCACAACAGAATTGTCTTGATTGGAGAGACGGCCTATTATCCGGTAATCATCGTCCGACATCGGTCTGTCGCTTCAGTTTCACGACAAGCGTTAATGGATTATTGTTTTCTTTCCATGACCTTGATGTGGACGATGGCGATCCGGAAAGCTACAGAATGCATACGAGGAAAGTCGAAGGTCGGTTGAAGACCTTCTTGCCTTTCTTCTTCGGCACGAAACACCACCTCTCGCTGGCCATCGCTATCCTCGGAGCTCTCGCACTGCTTCTTCAAACACCTCGTTGGTTTCGGTTGCTTGAAATGCAACAGAAGTGACAGCATATACAAAAGACACGTGTTCACACCCACGCAAGCGGTCCCCGTCTAGACTAAAGTATGTGCGATGACGACGTCGGCGCAGCAACCGGTCTGTCGCATATGCGTACGCTTTCGCGTATCACAACACGTGGCGTGCGTACTTCATTGACTACCGTCTCCCTGTCGCCCACGCTCGTCATCCGTGACTCACAGGTGCCGACTCTTTGCAGTAAAGCCCTTCCGGCCGGCACACGTTGTCTCGTCGGTTTTCCGGCCCGTGTAAACCGGTACTGTCTTTCCGGTACCGTTCGTTACGAGACCACGGAGACGAAGGTGTTTTTTAACCGAGTGTACGCATACGAACAGAACAGTCTTCGCGCCCTTTATTATTTGCATCTTGTTTCGTCAAATCCTGTGTAGTTGGTGGATTGTGGTCAGACTTGTAGATTTCAGGCGCCGGGCATTAAGATGGTGGTGCTCTTGGGTATGTTGGCTCAGTTAAAGCAACTGTAAAGGTTATAACCGTCCGCCTTAGGATTCCACGTCGGACGCCACTCGTGGCACAGTTTTTTCCTCAATTTATGATACGGCACTGATCCTCGCCACTGCACAACTATAGCTAGGAATGAGTGGCTTTGAAGGCTGCCATTAGCGTTAGGTTCTCACGGTACCGCGCGACTGTTTCCGGCAGCTTTGAATTCGAATTCTCGAAATTTCGACCGCCGGTCCAGCACCTTACAAAGTTAGCTATCATGGTCCTGAATGAAGGTATAGCAGTTGCAATATACTTCTGATCCCGTAGCTGACAGACTGCTTCAAGTCCAAGATGCGAACCAGTGATCAACTCACGTTTCACAATGGTCGCGGTCTCTGCCGTAATGAACTGATAACTTTAAAACGGTTTCATTCATCCAAACATGATGTAATTGCTGCATGCACGAAACAGCACTCATAAATGCCTTAAGTTTTACGACTTTGCAGTGGCCTTTGAAACTTCTTAAATTCTGATGAATCGCGCAGTACGGAATGGCATCAATTACAGTATGCTGCCACATGACGTTCTGTGCTGTCGCATTAGCAACTGCGCACGGTATTCTCATGGAGAGCAGCATCCTTGACAATTGAACAGAAACTTTAAATCATGCCCTGTAAATGTAAATGTACATTTACTACATCGCGCCATGCTGAAATCTATGCAGTGACAAAGATCTATCAAAGTTATTATCCCAGTATCAAAGCGCATCCTCCTCAACTGCAACTCAATTATATAGCGTTATTGAATTATATTCGATGCAAAATAATTTTCGTAGCATCTTCATGTGCGTGATAATCATATCATTTTCTAATTCCATATTTAATTTCAGATTCTTTTTTCCCCTCGTTTTAACTTTTGCATTGTGCAAGCTGAAAAATGAAGTTCTTTGGTTCACTTTAAACAGTTGACTTGTTCTAATTAGCGAAAGTTGCTTTTCATAAACTCAGCGGAATCGTACAGAACGAATAATTAGCAAAATTTGGATCGCATAACAGGGCTATATACGGTATAGTGTACCTTTCTCATCGGAAAGAAATGTCATGAACAATAAATGGCAAAAACCAATGAGACAGTGAAAATTTCCGATTAACAGAAATGGACTTATTTACCCCGTTTAAGGCAAATCCGTCAATGAAGAGGACATACTGGCCACAAACCCAGAGAGAAGAACAGTGATTCATCGTCAGCATTAATACCAAAAAAGTGGCGAGAATCTCTTGCTTACCTGCTAGATAGAACATGACGACGTTTTGGCAGATAGCCCGGATTA